AAAAATGGAAACTGCACCGAATGGTGGAATTATTTATGACAGGAAACATTTTCTAAAATGTTATTTTCCTTTCTTTTTCTTTTAACAAAAAAAAAAAAAAAAAAACATTTTTACATTTTGACTTACCTTTTATTTTTCCGTTACGCTTTACGGTTTTTTATTTTCTCAACAGCAACAGCAACATCAGCAATAAAATAAAATTTTTTTTTTTTTTTCTGTTTAACTCATTTGACAGTGTATGTATTATTATGCGTAAATGAAATTATTGATTAAAAACGTAAATGTGGTTTTTTATGATTTTTTATCACCTTGAGGCAGGATGAAAAGCAAAAAAAAAAAAATATCACGACCAGATGGGAATTTATTTTTATTTAATATTAAATGTCGTCACAAAACGTCAAATAAAATAAAATGAAATAAAAACATTTTTTCTTTTACACGTATGAATTAATATTTTTTTATGTTTTTAATGTTATTAACCCCTCCTACTTATTCACTACTAACATTTATACTTTTATTTTCGCCCACGTTAAAAAAATTAAATAAATAATTAATTAAACCAAAACCAAAGGAAAAAGCAAGCATTAAAAGAAACAACCGAAATTCCGGAATGAAATTCAAAAATTTTAACGTTGATGTCACGTGATATATGAAACTAATAAGGTAATACTCATACGTTTAAAAATAAAGGGTTTTGATTGGTTGATTTTTTTCTCTATAATTTTTAACCAATCAAAAAATTTAATTTTTTTGTCATTTACTTACTTTTAGTACGTTCAGAAACCCGTATTTATAATATTTATATACGGGTAATACAAATATGCATTGTTGACGAGTGACGTAACAATTTTATGACTTTTACGTCAATTATAGAACTTTTTTTTATTTTATTTTTATTTTTATTTTTCTCGCGAAGCATAAAAATAAACATTTTTTTTTTTTAATCCTTTTATTATCATCATCATCATTTTCACAGAATGGAATTTTTTTTTTTTTTGTGATTTTGCGACAATTTATTATTATTATTATTGGGTAAAATCCATTTGACGTCATATTCAAAATTAATAATCCGTTATTTTAATATAATAATAATTTGTTATCACCGAAATTAAGATAATAAAAAACATATGCACAAAAGCTTTTTTTTTTTTTTTTTTTTTTTAATAATAATGATTTTTTAATACTTTTAGAAAGGGGAGAGGGGAGGGGGGTGGGTATAATATCAATAATAACGAAAAAAAAATTATTTTTTTGGCTTAAGAACGATGGAAGGTAACAATGGAGTAATACATCAAAAAAGGTTTGGAAATAAACAAAGGAGACGATAAATTATTACGTGTAAGATAAGAGAAATGAGACAATGGCCAAACGTCATGAAAAAAAATAATAATGATAAGATGATAAATGAGGTAACAGGGGGGGGGGGAAATAATAATAATAATACTATTAGTTTAAGGGAAATAATGATGATGATGATGGCGGTTTTAAATCGTAAGAGTTTTATTATAAAATAAAATTATGTTTTTACTTTTGGAAATATTTTTTTTTTTTTTGTTAAAATAATCTAGAATTGTAATTTTTGATAAAGGTTAGGTAAAAAGGAAAATGCCCTTAAAGGTTTTTAGAAAAAAAAAAAAAAAGATATTTCGACGAATTTAACGAAAATCCAGATAATAAATAAATCTTTTCGAGAAATGGCCTGGAGTGTGTGTGTGTGTAAAGCAGAGACCTCTATCGGTTGATTTTATAATTATTATTTTGAAATTTTCGAACGAGTTTTATTCTATATAAATATTCGAACAAGTAGAAAATAATAAAACGGAGTATAAAATAAATTTTTAAACCATTTTTTTTTCATCTCCATATTGTTATTTCGATTTTTAAATTATACGTACCACGCATGCGTCGAATAATTAAAAAAATTTCAAATGAATGAATGAGAAAAAAAAAATGAATAACAATTTTTCCTTTTTTATCATCTGATTTTTTTATTACTTTGTTATAAATTTCAAAAAAAAAAAAAAAAAAAATTGTGTGGTTTTTGACATTTTTAAAAATGTATACGATTTATATCGTTTTATTTTATTTTAAAATAAAAAAATTTTTTTTTTTTTTATAACTGACCTCTCCGCAGGGTAAGTTATAGAGGTTTCGAACGAAATTCAAAAAAAACATTGAAACATGCTTGCCAATATTATTCAATACAAAAAAAAAAAAAAAGGTAAAGTGGAAGGAGGGAAAAAAACAATTTTAATTGACACGAGTTTAATAAATTTTTTATTGCGGTAAATGTGATTTTCTTATGTTTCCAATGTAAAAAACAAAAAAAAGCAATCATCATCCCTACCACCTGTAGCTCTTTCTCATTGGTCGAAGCTTTTTATTTAATGAAATTTAATTGGTCGAAACGTTTGTGACGTCATACGTTCTTTTTTTTAAAGCGGGTTTTCTACCGTTTACAACAACGGCGACGGCAGCGCTCTAAAATTTATTTTGAAAAAAAAAATTCTTTTATTCGGATTTAACTTTTTCCGTTGGCTTTATTCACCGTTTGAATTCGATAGGGTTCGGGTCGGTGATTTCATACCGTAAAAATGGCCGTCTCGCCGGCCCAACATTTTTTCCTTTCCATCATCATCGTATCAATAATTTTGGTCAATACTGTCGCTGCATTAAATCTCAGCAAATTATACGGACATCTTAGTGTTAAAAGAAACGGTAAGTACATTTTATCTTTTTACCTTTTTTGACCCTTTGTGTGAACTCGAATAACCCTTTGTATAAATTGTTAACGATTTTTGTGAAAAATCGTAATTAAATTTAATGATGATAATAATATTAAAAACCGTATAACATCATCGTTGCCCGTGCCCGTGTAAAAAATAATAATAATAATAATAATAATAATAAAAACTTTTATTTTATTCTTTTAAAACTTTTTATCTTAATGGCGGACATTAAAAAACACAAAATTCGAAACCTTTTATTTTTAATTTTCTTTTTCCGTCATAAAATTTATATATATTATTACTCTCAAGAGTTTTTCTTACCCCCCCCCCTCTCTCCCCCTACCCCCTCGTGGGAGAAAATTATCGTTAAAATTTGAATTTCATATGATTATTTTTACCTTACAACGTTTCGATTGTTTAAAATTAACGTTTTTGTATTCGAATTCTTATGACGTCACGAATCCGCCATTATCGCACATTATAATTATTAATATTGTAACTAACAAAGAACGTGTTAAATAATAATTCGAATTACGTTTCGAAAAAGATAAAAAATTGCGAGATGAAAAGAATATTTAGCCGAAAGTGAATAAAAAATTAATTAGGGGGGATGGGATGGGGGGGAAAAAGGAAAAATGAGTACGTGTGAGATTTGATAAAAAGGTTACGATGAAGGTTTAACAATGCCAAAAGGGTAAAAAACAATTATTATTATTATTATCATCATTTTAATGATTTCGAAATTCTCTCCAAATTTTTTTTTTTTTTTTTTTTTTAATAAAGAGAAGGGAAAAAAAACGAAAAAGTTCAAAAAAAAAAAAAAAGGTGTTTGCAAAACGTGAAAAACGGTTGTAACGATTTTTTTCCCTTCTCACTTGTCTCTATTCGCGAACGCAAATTATTTAAATTTAACAAAAAAAAAAAAAGGAAAGAAAAAACAAAATGGCGGATGGCGTCACATAATAAAATAGAACAGAGGTGGAGAATAAAAAAATAAAAATAAAAATAAAAAATTTTCTTTCTTTTTTTTTTTTTTATTTTTTATTTTTTGATACGAGTTTTGCTGTTGTTTTTTTTTTCCTCTTCTTTGCTGTCGTCGTTTGCTGTTGTTATTTTATTTAATTTTTTTTTATACGTTGAAAATTTTTGAAAAGGTTTGAATGGGAATGATAAAAAAAGAAATAATAATAATAATAATAACAGGGAAAAATTCGTTTTCCGGATTTGTACAATTACACTTGTACATAAAATGAGTTTCATTTTTATTTTATCGCATCATCATCATCATCATCATCATTATTATTATTAATATTATTATTATCATCATCATCATCATCATCGTAATAAAAAAAAGAACCTTTTTTCGTGAACCTTTCTTACGTTTGTGTATTCCCTTCGCAATTGTAACGAATCGAATTTTCCTTTCGGAAAAACTACTCCTACTACTTAACCCTTTTGAAAAAAACCTTTTATTTCTTTCCCCCTTCCCCCCTCCCGCTCCCCTATTTTCGTTTGATTTCCTTTTTTTTTTTTTTTTCTATTCGATTTTATTCCTTTTATTATGACGTACGTTTTCGTACCTGTTTATTTATTCTATCCATACATCCTTCCTTCCTTCCTTCCTTCCTTACGCTTTTAATTAATTTGTTTTTGTTTTCGGGATGCTATGACGTCATAATCCTTTTCCCGACAACGTTATTTATCAAAGGGGAGCGGAAAGAGGACGAGAGGGGAGGTAAAGGGGGGCGTCGGAAAAGTGTCAGATTAAATGATACGCTTGGTATTAATTTTTATTTTTTTTTTTCTTTGTTTGTGAATTCGTTTTTTCTTAACCTTTTTCTTTTCTTTTCTTCTTCATCATCCGATTTTCTCGTTTTCTTTTTCTCTTGATGGGGTAGGATTAAAAAACAAGAAGAAAAAAAAAATTACAACGCATTTAAAAATAAAAAATAAAAATTTTATTCTGCTAAAAGGAATCTCATGCTTTTATCAAATGTATATATATATGTATACATAAATAAAATTATACATTATTCATGCAGTTTTATTTTACTTTCTGCTCTCTCTTCTTTTTTTTTTCTTTTTTTTCTTTTTCCTTCATCTTTTTCTTTTTCTTCTTCCCGTAATTTTATTTTAAAAAAAAAAGGGAGGGGGGAGGAATAGAAAAGGGAAAAAAAAAAAATTTTCATCCCACTTGAACTTTCTTTTTTTTCCTCTTTTTTTTTTTTTTTTTGCATTTCGTAATAAGTACGTCGCAAAAAAAAAAAGCGTGGAGGGATGTAGCAGGAGGGGGGATGTAGGGGAGGGGGAAAGGAGCGGAAAATTTGAAATTTCAATCATTTCGAGATAGGAAGAGGAAAAAGTATGGGGATTGGGGGGGAAAATGGGAAAGGGGGGAGAAGGGAAAAAAAAACAAATTTTCTTTTTTTTTTTTTTTTAAATTTTAAAATTTAAATTTTTTTTTTTTTTTCTTCTCTTTCCACCGGATGATGATTCTCTACGTATTTCCTTTTCTCCCACGACCGGAAACTCTTCCCCTCTCTTCCCCTCCCTCCCCCCCAAAAAAAAATTTTAATTTAAAATATTGTTTTGAAAACTCCGGTTTTTTTTTTTTTTAATTTTATCTCCTCCCATTTTTTTTTTTTTTTTTTGAATTTCAATTTGATGAACGGTTTTGGAAAAGCGAACGCAAAAATCATTATTATCATTATCATTATTATTATTATTATTTCGGTTTAGTCGACGGTTAGTAATACTAAAACCGAATTATATTTATTTATTTTTTTTTCTGGTGGTTTTCCTCGTGAGGATTTCAAATGATTTAAATTCGTTTTCAAATCTCTTTTGAATAATATAAATAAGCAATTAAATTACAACAAATGGAAATTCAAATTATTATTATTATTATTATCGGTTTCCGTTTTCTTTACGTACCCGTAGTAATGCTAATGCTAATAATAAAATTTTATTTGTCTCGAAGGAAATATAAAAATTTAAACATTTTTTTTTTGCTGTTGTTTAGATTCGTTCGTTCGTTGGTTCGTTAAGGATCGAATCGCAAATAAATAAAAAAAATTTGAAAACTAAAAAAAAAAAAATCAAAAAAAAAAGGAAACGAAATCCTTTTTTTGGTTTTTCCCCGGTGAAAATTTCTTCTGCATTCTGTGGGGAAGGAAGGGAGGGAGGGAGGGATGAAAGATTCAAAATTATATTATCGGGAGTAAAATCGATAATATCTGGGTGTTTTTCCATCACTTTTTTTTTTCTCAAACTATTATTATTATTATTATTATTATTATTATGTATGTATTTTACGAACGGAAAAGGTTTTTTTTTTTTTAAAATTACAAACCGGATATGGTTAATTTTTTTTTTCTTTTCGGGAATTTATTTCATTTATTTTCTGTGAGAGAGAGAGAGAGAGAGGAAGGATAGAAAAGAAGGAGAGAGAGAGAGAGAGAGAGAGAGGAAGGATAGAGAAGAAGGAGAGAGAGAGAGAGAGAGAGGAAGGATAGAGAAGAAGGAGAGAGGGAGAGAGAGTGGGGAAAAATGGTGGAAAATTTAATGTAATTTTTTCTTTTTTTTTCTTTCTCTATTCGAAATATTATCATCATCATTATCATCATTAGTTTTCTTTTTCGATTATTGAAATTTTCGATAGGAAAAATATTTTTAGATATAAAAGAAAAATTTTGGAAAAGTCACGTTTTGGGGGTCCCATTAATAAAAGTCAACAACATTTAGAGAAAATAATTTTTCTGTGTGTGTGTGTGTGTGTGTGAATTGAACAAGGACGACGACAGGAAGAGCAATTGGGTAAAATTTATTACGGGGGACAAAAAAAATATATATTCCTGGAGGAATGTTAAAAAGAAAAAGATTTTCCGATTTGCTTTTTACGAAATCCGATTTTAAGGGGGAAAAAAAAACATGAGAGAAGAAAAAGAAGGGAAATCAAACCGAAAACGTGATGAAAATTATCAAAGTTTTGCGTTTGAAAAAGGAAAAAAAAAGGAAAAAAAATTTCACTAATGGAAAATGTGTCATAGAGAATAAAAACGTGTAATTTTTCCTTTTCACGAAAAATAATGACGACGTTATATGTTTTTCTTATTTTTATGTATACAAAAAAAGGAAAATGGAAAAAACAAAATAACAGGTGGCATAAAAGGTTAATCAATAATAAAATTATTTTTTTAGGGGAAGGAAAGGAAAGGAAGGGGAGGGGAAAATTATTAATTTATTTTCATTTTTCCTTTTTTTTTTTTACATTTTATTTCAATACGGAAAAGAGAAAAAAAATTGTGGGGGGAAGGGGAGAAAAGGGAAGGAAGGGAAAAGAGCAAAAAAAAAGGTTGAATAATGTAAAAGGGAAGTAAAATGTTAGAATAATAATAATAATAATAATTTCAGGGAATCAAATCGATGGGGGGGTGGGAAAAAAGAGGGAGTGGGGGTTTGGAAAATTATAATATAATTTTAATGTAATCAAAATCGAACGAAACGTATTTAAAATTATTATTTATTTTTATGAACAAAAAATTTAAAAAATTAAATTGTTCATTTTTCTTTGCGTTTTAGAAAATATTCAAAATGGCGGAAAATTATAGTAGTAATTTTCCAATTATTTCATACCGGAAAAAAAAAAAAACAAAATGCGAATTTGTTGTTTTCAGTGTGTTTGTGTGAGTAAATAATAAACTCGTGAGATTGAAACCTTTTCTAAACCTTTTTTAAAAATTTTTTTTTTTTTTTTTGTATTTTTTTAATTACGGAAAAAATAATAATGATAATAATGATAATGATAAGTTTTCGTGGTTGCCTTTTGTCGAATCGATTCGCGGTAAAAAAAAAAAAAAAAAAAAAAGGAAAACGTTCAGACAAATAAAAAAAACAGAAAAAAAATTATTATTATTATTATTATTATTATTCCTTTGTGATTTCTCTAAAGCTCTAACATTTTTTTTGTATTTTCGTAAAAAGATTTTT